CTGAACTTATGCCCTTAAGGCTTATCCTACCACCTGTTGTTGAGATATTGATCACATTGGGACTGTCCCTAATATTCATTTGAAACATGAGTAAAAATGAGGGCTCCCCCCTCTACAACACTAAGGTCACATTGGCTAGAGACTTTACCTCTCCAGTGTTCCCTTAGCTCAGGAACTCTGGATGGGTGGTCTGTAGGCCATCAGTATCGAAACCACCTGGGAAGTTTGTTAAAGACCCATCCATGCACCTGGGTCCTACCCCACACCTACTCAATGAGATCACTGAGGCCGGGACCAAGGATCTGCATTTTTGGCAACCCCTCCAGGGTGATGCTTATATACACTACCATTTGAAAATCACAAATTATAGAACCACAAAACACCTCCCAAATAATCTGTGGAATGACATTTGTTGGTACTTTATTTTGGTGGGAAAAGGGGATTGGGGAGTTATTTTTCCAAGTCGGTCCTATGAAGCATAGACATAGTGGCAACAAACACATTTTAAATAGCATATATCATCTGTTCCCTGACAAAACATTTTTAGGAAAAGAAAAGAAACAACATCCCCACACACACACAGCTACACACACACGAAAATTGAAAATGTAGAAAATTCAGTTAACTATAGGCTGTTTGGTTTGTTTTGGGTTTTGTTAGTTTTGTTTTGTTTCATTTTATTTTGGGTTTTTTTCCCCTTGAAAGATTTTGATGTTTCTGCCTGGAGGGCCCGCAGTCCTTAAAATGTTCTTGCCTGCAATTTCAGGGGGAACCTGGGGCTGTTGGTCCCATAGGAACAATGCCAGGCTTGGTCCCAGGGAGCTGCCACAAGCTGTCAGCAGCCAATGAGAGAGGGGGCGGTGTGAATATTGGTGGATAACCGGATATGATCAGTCTCCCAGGAAGGGATTGGATTTTAGACATATTGTCACGGAAACATAAAATTTCAGCCCTGGAAAGAATTTTAAAGATTATGAGATAAAGACCCCAACTGTTATAACTGTCAGAGGCTAAGAGACATGAGGGGCCTACCAGCGCTAAGAACCTGGAGTGGGGCTTCTGAATCCAGTTCAGACTCTAGAAAGAACCACCAGTGTTTCCCGAGGGTGATTTATTTGTACACCCCTTCACAATTTTATTTTCTTTCTGCCTCCTCTTTCCATCTGTGTTATTATTAACATTCTCTTAAAACTAATATTTTTACTCAAGTTTATTCAAGAAGCAAACTTTGAGTCAGTACTATAAATGGAAGATCGACATCAGTTGTTGAAAATAGAAGGTCCCAATCCTTCCTATCTGAACCCCCAGGAAGTCAAGGACCAGATGGATTTCGATGAGAAGAGACACCCTATTGCTAAATTCTAACTAGATACTTTACCTATGTAGGGCTTGAAGCCTGGGGCCTGCTGTCTCTTTGTTAAAAGGGGAGATTGGCAAGTGTTAGAGAACTGTTACTACTGATCAACTGAGACTTGCTTTAATTCGTCTGAGGATTAAAAGGAGAATTGAAAATGGGTTGTAATTTAAAGTCCAGCCCACCTTGGAGCCACCTTGGAGGCATTTCCAGCCCACCTTGGAGCTCATCTTTTGGTTAAAAATACCTATAATTTGGTGAAGGCCATACTACAACTGCCCTGCTGTCTTGGGTAGTGTTCTTGCCTCTTGCCGCCTCTCTCCTTGACTGTTTCTGTTTGTGCCATGCAGAGACACTAGCCCCTGTCACACAGTGGAATTGGCAATAGTCACCGTTCCCAGATAAAAGCATGAATGAAGAGGCAATTTTGTTCTTTCGTTTCTTTCCCTGGTGGAAGCTATCATGCTCCAAAGCAATGAAATGTACACAGGTGAGATGTCTTAATACTACTCCTCTGCTCAGACATCTTACTTGTTTCCTGCTTCCTATAAAACAAAGTATAAATCCCTTAGTCCAGCATTTAAGACCCTCCACTATCTGATCCCAAGATACTTTTCACAGAATCAGGATTAGGCGTAGATTTGGAGTCCTTCCATTCCAATGGAGTCTCTAGCCAGGTCCTCTGGCACTTCCAAACCAACCACAGGCACCGGCCCCACCAGGGATGAGTGGTTCCCAGCCTGGCTGCCCTTTATAATCACCTGGGGAGCTTTGGGACACCTCCAAAGCCTGGGCTGCTCCCAGGACCCATTGGATCCGAATTTATGGGGGTGGAACTGAGTATCACTAGTTTTAAAATCTCCCCAAATTATTCCAATGTGGAGCAAGAAAACAACTACTCTTGGACCACATCTCATATCTACAAAAAAAAAAATATGACATTCAGGGGTCAGACCCAGGAATCTGTATTTTAAATAAACGCTCAGGGGATTATAATGCGAAACCAGATTTGAGAACCAAGACTAGTTCAACCTCCATGGTCTACAGATTAAGAAATGGAAGCTCCAAGTTGCTAAATCACAGAGCCTACATCAAAACTAGTCAGTAGCAGAAATGAATGCAGAATCCATACACCCAGATTCCCTGGCCCACGCTCTTTCCATGCTCTTCTGTTTTCTAACCTTTTCTCACTCCAACTTACACATATACTTTCTGCACCAGCCAGACCCATCTGTCCAGTGGCCCCTAAATACATCCTGGTTTCCTTCATGTTGGCACCACTGCCCCCACCTGCAATAGCTGCGCCATTCCTTCCAGCCTTGCTCAGTCCTAGGCTAGGCTGTGTGTAAGGCTGGTCCCACTTCCTGCATAAGCTTTCTTAGCTGCCACTCCTGCACGCTCCACCTCTCCTTTCTCTCGACCCCTGAAGCACTTACAGTCACAGCTTAGCATTGAGTTATTCTGTAATAACACAGGATAGAAACTCCCAGAGGGCAGAGACCATGGCTTATGTTCTTGCATCCGCTCAGTGCACTCAGAGTAAGCACTCTGCAGATGCTCTCCCATTCACAGACAGAAAGCCTCAAGATGCATTCAAGTACACCTTGCTGAAAATCACCTTTTGGGCCCCTGACAGAAATCAGTTGCAAGGGGGAGAAAAAGAATTACTCTCTGTGTTTCTCTTTCCCTATTTCATTTTAAAAGAATAGCCTTAAGGTTTATGTCACTTGCAATCGAGTGGCAGTAAACTTGATGCCCAGTGTACCTAACATTTCGAGAGATAGGCATTACGTATGCATAGATATTATGTGTGTCTTCTTTTGTGAGCTGTCTTTCAGCAAATGTCAATGGCTTTTCAGAATAATAGACAATCTTGGACTATTGCCACAACCGCACGTGTACTGCTAAAAACCACTCAGTTCTAGCAATAAGCAGAAAATCCTCCCAATGCCTCAGGGAATAAAGGGACATACAATATGGCAGTTCTGGTCGTTTCCCTTTTCAGCACTTAGCTCAATCGACGTCTTCAAATCGAAAAGTGCCAAGGCTTCCAAACCCAGAGTTCAGCTTTAAAGGTTCTCATTACAAAAACTCTCCAGTTTCTAATTGGTTTTATTAAAGCATTAGTAAGCTGTATGGATATTTTTTGTGCAAATAAGTGACCAAGGTATACATTATCTTGTTAGTGGTTAATACTGAGGATTCCAGGCTGGTAGAAATCTGCAATAGTGCAGTCCCTTTGAAAATAGTCTGGCAGTTCTTCAAAAGGGTAAACATAGAGTTACATAATGACCCAGCAATCCCACTCCTAGGTATGTATACCCAAGAGAAATGAAAACATATGCTCCCACAAAAACTTGCACATAAACATTCATAACATCATTATTCATAGTAGTGAAAAATGGAAATAACACATATGCCCATCAACTGATGAATGGGTAAATAAAATGTGGTATATCCATACAATGGAATAATCAGCCCTAATAAATGAGGTACTGACATCTATGCTGCAATGTGGATGAACCTTGAAATGCTAAATGAAAGAAGCCAGTCACAAAAGGGTGCATAGGGGCCAGGTGCGGTGGCACATGCTGGTAATCCCAGCACTCTGGGAGGCTGAGGCAGGAGGATTACTTGAGCTCAGGAGTTTGAGACCAGCCTGAGCAAGAGCGAGACCCTGTCTCTACTAAAAAACACAGAAAAATAACTAAAAATAGGAAAAATTAGCTAGACTTTGAGGTTGCTGGTGAGCTGGGCTGATGCTACAGCACTCTAGCCTGGGCAACAGAGCAAGACTCTGTCTAAAAAAAAAAAAAAAAAAAAAAAAAAGACTACGTAGGGTATGATTCCATTGTTACCAAATAGACAAATACATAGTTGATTAGTGATTGTCTGGGACTAAGGAGGAGCAAGGGGTTGGGAGGAATAGGGGTGGTTGCTAACAGGCACAGACTTTCTTTTATGGGAGATGAAAATTGTAATGGTTGTTCACCTGAATACATTAAAAACTATTGAATTGTATGTTTTAGGTGGGTGAATAGTAAGTTATACGAGTTATATCTCAATAAGTTATGGTTTTAAAAAAAGATTGAAAATTCCAATCCCTCTTTATACCTCTTAGCAGTGTAATCTGGAGCAACTTGTTTAACCCCTTTAGACTTCAATTTCTTCCTCAGTAAAGTACACCTGCATTATTACAAGGATTAAATAAAATAATTCATATGGAAGGTTTAAACTTATAGTATGGCCTTAATAAAGGTTAGCTATGTTTCCTAGTATTTCCTGACTGCAGGAGGAAGAGTATAAATGTGGGAGCCTCCTGCCACAAATCCTGCTGAATTCTATGTAAGCAACACACACAAAAAAGAAACAAAGCAGCAATAATAATATCAGAAAAGAGACTCAGAATCATTCTTTCCCTGTCCTTCAGCCCGACCCCACCCTCTCCTGCCTCAGCCCCCATCACCAATGTGAAGAAGGACTTAAAAGATCACTTTCCCCTCTCTGCATAATTTCCACTCAATGAACTGCCATTGCAGCTGCTGCAGCGACATTCCAGAGCTCTGGAGGCTTGGAAGGACTGACCGAGAGAAGCAAAGTGTGTTTAAGAAAGCAATGGGTGGAAGGCGAATGGAAGAATGCTTACCTGCCGGGCACACCTCACACATCTTCACAGGCTCAGAAAAATTCCATTCTGAAGGGCACTGAAGCTGTTACTATCTGGAGCAGCCAGCCAGTAAGAAATTATGCTCTGGGTTTCAGCTCAGCCAGCTTTCATTACTGTTGAGAAATAGCACCCTATAATTCAACCCAGCTCAAGTCTTACTTCCTCTCTGAAGACTTTCTGGCCATCCCAGTCCCCAGTGATTCCTCCTGCCACTGAATTCCTGTAGGATTATGCATATGGATTATGACATATGAAATCACCCAGGATGGAGGCCAGCACATTAGCAACTGCTCAAAAACAATCTCCCAGCCACCCTGTAGCACTTACTGTTGACACTGGTCCCTGGGCTCCCAGCAAACTCCACCCTGTGTTGTCATTTATCTTTTGATATTCCTTGTTCCATATCCCCAACCCATCTGCAAGCCTAGGAAGAATGGGGATCCTGGGGCACACTTTCCCATTCCCAGCGTCATGAGCTCCTCTGTAATAAGGTACTTAAGAAACATGTGTTTATGAGGATAACTAACAACCATCCCCCTTTGTTGCACAAAAATGTTTGTGAATATGTGAGGGAAATATTACACAATTTAAAAGCCTTATTTTGCCACTTAGACTGCCAATCAAAGTTGCATGAATAGATGCAAGGATTTATTTTTTAAAACAGAGTAAGAAAGTCACGCTTAATAAAAGACAAAATGTACTCAAGGAAAGTTTAGAGCTAACCTAGCTGACCTGGTCCTCCCCACCCACCTCCCCCACCCCACCCCTGCCTCCATCCAGTCTTGGTCAGGAATCCAGGGCTGATCCCCTAAAAAGGCAAGGTAAGAAGCATTATAGAGGTTGCTCAAAGATAGATTACTGAGCCTGAAAGAAATGAGTCTGCACCCCAGTCCCACTTTGTTCTTCTTGCACATGTTACAGAACAACTCTGAGCCTAGCACTTGTAGGATTAGAAAATCTACACTTCGCTATCACTGTGAAGGGAAAGGCACCATGCGCAATAAATGGCAATTATAATTAAAAGCTAATTTTTTCACTCTAGCACCTTCGTGTCAAAGTCTGGATATGGTTCTATTAAAACATAACATAGGATTGCTTGAGCTCAAGGATTTGAGATCAGCCTGGGCAAGAGTGAGACCCCATCTCTATTAAAAATAGAAAAATTAGCCAGGTGTGGTGGTGCACACCTATAGTCCCAGCTACTCAGGAGGCTGAGGCAAGAGAATTGCTTAAGCCCGGGAGTTGGAGGTTGCATTGAGCTACAATGATGCCATTGCACTCTATCGAGGGCGACCAAGCAAGATTCTGTCTCAAAATATATATGTGTACATAAGTATATATGTACAGAAAACCCTGACTAATATCAGGCAGCTGTGCTCCACTCCACAGCCGAGCTCGTCCACAGGCAGGGCATCTGTGGAGGCTGGTGCCAGGCAGCGGAGGATGGGTGAGTGGAGGGAGAGCCTGGGAAGGCGGGGCTGGAGGAGGAAAGGGTGGGATTAATGGGGTTGGGGAAAGAGAAGCTACAAGCAAGGCCAGTGTTATGAACACAGACTATCACTTTGCAAGACAAGAAATTACCGTCAGTTATTCCAGCTAGAAAAAAGGAAAGAGAATTGCAGGAAATAATGATATTAGTCATTGTTATTTAATGGATAAATAATTTCAGATAGACTGGACTTGCATTTGTGGGAGGTGGGGGTTAGGGCCAAGAGTTCATTTTGGACACAATCGAGAAGTGTCTCCCTGCCGTGTCTCCCACTCTGGACACTCTTGAGCTGCTGTGGCCAGTGGTAGACAGCGGTCAGAGAAGCAAGTGACCATGCTGAGTAGCCCTGGCCACAGAGTGGTCCCTGGACATGTGGGCATACCAGGTAGCCCAATAATAGGAGTCACTGCAGACTGATATTTTTTAAGTCCAGTGTATATTTAGTGAGGTAGAGAAGGCTTTGGAAAGGAGTATTTTATTTTTGAAGTTCCATTTGGGGGTGAAGTCTACTTCTCTACTTAATTATAATAATCTGAATTAACTGGTAGGCTCTTCCCAAATTTTCCAGTGATGTCGGAACACCCCTGAGCAATTGCCCAGCAGGCTGCCCCTTGACTGGGCTCTCCTGAGTGACATTCTCTTTTGAGGTAGTGTCAGGGAGCAAACCAAAAAACCCAACACACCCCCTAATTTTAACCTAACCCTCCTCTTCCCACCTGGAAATGCATCTCCTTTGAGGAGTAAGCACCTTTCACCTACTGCCATACCACCCCAAACATGCCCGATCTTGTCTGATCTTGGAAGCTAAGCAGGGTCGGGCCTGGTTAGCACTTGGATGGGAGAACTAGTCACCTTTAATACCTATTAATGACTTACTCTTCAAGACAACCAAGTGTGGAATCATACCCTCCAGTTCTAATGACTTGCTTTGGGAAAGGGGGAATGATAAGGCAATGAGAAATAAAATCTGCATGATTGGGGGAGAAATATTTCCAACAGAAGTGTCTATTAAATTAATATACAATCTCATGAGAACACGGGAGCAATTCAATATTGAGCTGAGGAAGTGACAAGAAAGTGTTTTACTGATGAGACAACCTGCCTCTGGGAGCTTTCTTCAGGGTGTTTGCTGTTTTGATTCTACTTCTACTCTTCAGCCTTCCTGCTGGACATTTTTTCCCTCAAGATATTATGTATGTGTATATGTACATGTTTGTGCATGTGTGTACATGTGTATACATGTGTTTGTGTTCGAATTGTTGTTTGAAAAACTATAGAGTATTTTAGTTATTTTAGTATTCCATTTTCCTGGATTGTACACACCATAAATTCATATGACAGTATTTCTACTTCAAGGCTAAATCATATTGAGACAATGAAAACACTATATATTTTTTTCAGATATTTACATCTGATCAGAAGTACTGAAATTGTACAAAATCATTGCAGTGAAAAGCATTTTTGTGACAGAACACAAAGACCCAGGGGGTAGAGAAAAACAACTTTAATTTAGAAAACTCAAAATGTCTAGCTGCTTCTTTAATTTATAATAGGTTGAGTCATTCTATGCAGTGCTTCAGTATTATAAAACTAAAGGAATCTTTTTTCATGAGACTGAAAATATACATATAATTAATAAAATGTAATTCTTTACCCTTCCTCTCCCTCAAAAAATAAATTACCTGACCTTCAGAACACGTCTGTGTCTAACTTCGTTAAGGGTTGCCTTTGTGTTTTCTTTTGGTGGAAGACTGATGGTTTAGTCCAAGCTGTCACTCAAACTCTGTGGGTTAAAAGGTCTTCATTTATTTATCTTGGTGCTCATATTAACCAGTTAAATGGTTGAATAGCAGTCAATGACTGAGAAAAATAGATATTTGAGAAGTAAAACATGTGGTACTTGAAAAATTACAGAAGTCCTTTGGTGGAATTTATTATTCACTAATTATTGACTGAGCATGAGAAGTTGTATATTTTCCTAGCTTTGAAAATAATAAATCATTCAAAGCTACACACATCATTTACAAATAGCTGGTAGAAATTGCTCTGCAGACTTTCAAAAACAGAGGCTTCAAGGATCTTTTATTTTCCAACTACTGACATCCTAGAGATGTGAAGCCGACACATTACCCACCCTCCCCCAAAACACGCACGTGCACGCACGCACGCACACGATGCAACAGAAAAGCTGAAATATAAAACCGGCCTTGGTGATGGAAGTCACGGTGACTCTACGGAGGAGGCAGGAGCTTTTTAATGAGGCCAGAATCCACTCTTTAAAAGCAAATTCACCAGCTGCCCTCTCAGCATGGGTCACCTTCCCGGCTTCCTCACATCTGTCAGTAACACCGCCAGTCACCGAAGCAAGAAATCCGTCATCATCGGCCACTCTCTGGCCTCCAACCCCCCTCCCCCGCCCTGCAATCTGTGACCAAGCCCTGTCATTTCCACTCAGCCCCCTGAGTCACCCCGCCTCTTCCATAGGGAAGACTTTTCTTCAGTCTACACGAGTACCAGGTCATGCTGTTGTCAGGACGTCTTGCCCCGTGTCACCACCCTGGTCCAAGCCTCCACCTCCTCCCACCACCTCCACTCTGCCGGGAAGACAAAGGCCTTTGAGACAGGATTTGTTCTGGGGGCAGAGGGGAGCGAGCGAAATCCCCACAGACACCTTGATTTCAGACTTCAGGCCTCCAGAACTGGGAGAGAATCCATTTCTGTTGTTTTAAACCGCCTACTTTGTGGTGATTTGCTACAGCAGAGAAAATTATCCAGATAATTAACAGTTTGCCTAAAATAGGTAATGGAGACCACAACGTGCTTGAAGACCTCGGTCATCCCCTTACTTACCTTGGGTCTCTACTTTGGACGTGAACAGGGATATGGGGATGTGTCATATAGCCTCTGTGCTATTAACGATAATGATGATTATTACTTTTATAATTTTATCCACCACCAATTAATTGCCAAGCTCTCGTTATTTATGTAAATTATCTCTGTCTGTTTCTTACCAGGCAAGTCTCATTATCAACCCCATCCTTTGAAGACCGTAGCCCACAACAAAGAGTAAACCGTTTACTCCTCTAGATATTTACATAGCTCTTCCCACTGGAAGCACCTAACCCACACAAATTCTAGTTTTCTGTCCATTTGTTTCTCACACCGTGACAACTGGGACCTCCAGTGTGTCTTTTAAATGGAAATTTTCTGTTGAATTTCTGTTCTGGCCTTTGGTCCCCACGGAGGAAACACACAGGCCTCTCCTCCAGGGACAGCCCAGCCACGGATCACATGCTGTTCAGGGTCTTCATTCCTGATAGAGTCTCCGTGCTCAGCATCGAGCAATCACTTTGTGTCCCAGGGCCCGTCCCCAAAACACAGCCAGAGGAGACATCTGAGGGAGAATGCCCACAGCACCCTTGTTTGCTCCCGGGACATTTCTGCACATGTTGCTGTTGTGATAGGAAATGACAACCAGATGCCCCTCGACCCTTGGTGTCCCCCGGGTGACTGATTATAAGGTCAACACAAAGCCTCCCCATTCCAGCACCGTCAAAGCCCAAGCTTTCTAATCAGTGGTGTCGTCAGTTACAGTTGCAATAGATTAGGGACAGATTCTTTTCA